TGTGTGTGTGTGTGTGTGTGTGTGTGTGTGTGTGTGTGTGTTGGGAACTGAACCTAGGTACCCTGGAAGAGCAGCAAGTGCTTTTAACCATTGAGCCATATCACTAGCCTCAGGTGTTTTTTTGTTTTTTTGTTTTTTGTTTTTTGTTTTTCGAGACAAGATTTCTTTGTGTAACAGCCTTGGCTGTCCTGGAACTACTTTGTAGATGAGGCTGACCTTGAACTTACAGAGGTCTGCTTGCCTCTGTCACCCAGAGTGCTGGAATTAAAGGTGTGCACTACCACACCTGGCTTTGTTTCAGTTTTTTGGAAGTCAGACTTGTAGAGGTGTACAATTTACCAATAGTAAAACTTACCCTTTAAACATGATAGTACTTGTGATTCGGTGCATGTAGGTACTTGTGTAATGATCATCTCAATCAAGATAAACATACAGAGTGTCTACATCCTTCTCCCATGCCTTTGCAGGCATTTCCCTATCAGCACACTCCTGAGCTTTTTGTACTTCAGATAGGTTATCCTTGTTTCAGAGTGTCATTTATGTGGAGTTACTGTGCAGTTTTGTTGAGTTTCCCTTGAGACTGATGCTGCTTGTGAAATTCATCCATGTTATTGATCAGTGTGATTCACTGGTAAGTGTCATTGGACATGGAACCTGAAAGAAAATAATAAATACATAGCCAGTACAACTGCATACAAAGAAGGAAAGATTTTTGTTTTCAAGAACAGTGTGCCCTGGCATTGTTTCCTGATGGTGTTAATGGTACCAAAGATGTTTCGTGATATAATTGGAAAAACACCAAAAGGAGTCCTAAGAAGCTCTATTTCTTTGTGTTTTAAATTTCCTTTGAAAACTTGGACAAGTCATTTTATTTTGAGGGTTTATTTTCTTTACCCTCTTTAGAGTTCCAATCTGAGTAAAGGATAGCTAAGCATATTAATAGAAAAGGATGAAGTTTTGCTTTGTATGTCTTTTCTTTTCCTTCCTTCTCCCCCTCCCTCTCTCTCTCCCTCTCTCCCTCCCTCCCTCCTTTCATTGAGTGTATTGAAAGAGGACAGCACTAGGGTGCCACTGCAGGCTTTCTTTCTTTCTTTCTTTCTTTCTTTCTTTCTTTCTTTCTTTCTTTCTTTCTTTCTTTCTTTTTTTTAAGAATGAAGAAACTTTTAGCAAATTGAGTAGTTAGAAATGTTACCTCAGAGAGTGCTTTGGCATATTAGCATACACTGAGGGCCAGCAGTGGTACATATGGCCTTTGTTGTGACTGTATCATTAAAACTAATAAAGTAGCTACTACTTAGTCTCTGAATCTCTTGTTGCTATCCTCCTGTGGGTAATAGTTCTATAAATTAAGAATCGCCACCTTAGCCAGGCCTGTAATACCAGCACAAGGAAAGTTGAGGCAGGGGCTTTAGTGAAATCCAGGCTAGCCTGAGCTCTACATAGTAAGGCCTTGTTTCAAGCAAAGAAATGTACACAGAGCAATTTTAAGTCATTAAAAAGGGTAAGGAGAGATCTTACCCATTGACTTATAGATACACCGAGAGAAGAATGATTGGTTTTCTTTTTTCAAATCTGTAAAACTATATAGGTACATAGAAAATCGAATATTAGGGGCTGGAGAGATGGCTCAGAGGTTAAGAGCACTGACGGCTCTTCCAGGGGTCCTGAGTTCAATTCCCAGCAACCACATGGTGGCTCACAACCATCTGTAACGAGATCTGGTGCCCTCTTCTGGCCTGCAAGCATACATGCAGACAGAACACTGTATACATAATAAATAAATAAATCTTAAAAAAAAAAAAAGAAAATCGCATATTAGAAAAAATAAGTAAGATTTTGGTACCACTCCTCTAGAAGACATCCAGTGTCAAGGGATGAAGAAAGAGAGTTTCACATTTAAAATTGGAACCAATTTTGAAACGAGGCAACCAAGGAATGTAGCTCTTAATCTTTTTATTTTTATTTTATTTTGAGACAGGGTCTTATTGTGTAGTTCTGGTTAGCCTGCAACTGTATCTGTAGACCGGGCTGGCCTTGAACTCAGAATTTTGCTGCTTCTGCTTCCTAAGTGCTGGGATTAAAAACTGACCTCTCAATCTCTTTATTTTCATGATGTTTCTCTTTCTTTTTATTCTCTTAAGCCCTGCTATCCTTCATTCTTTCCCTAGATAATAGGATGTTAGAATGTTAGTGTCTGTTACTCTATTACTTCAGACAGATAAAATGTTTTTGTTTTTGTTTAAGATTGAGTTGCAGTGTGGAGCCCTGGATATTCTGGAACTCATCCTGTAGACCAGGCTGGCCTCCAACTCAGAGATCCTTCTGCCTCTGTGTCCTGAGTGCTGGGATTAAAGGCATGTGCCACCATGCCTGGCAAGAATTATTTAATCATAATCATGCAGTGGTGGCTCACACCTTTAATCCTAGCACTTGGGAGGCAGAGGCAGGTGGATCTCAGTGAGTTTGAGGCCAGCCTGGTCTACAGAGTGAGTTCCAGGACAGACTTTAAAGCTACACAGAGAAACCCTGTCTCGAAAAAATGAAAGAAAGAAAGAAAGAAAGAAAGAAAGAAAGAAAGAAAAAGGAATTATTTAATTATATGATTATAATCCCTTTTTTGTGACACACTGGTCTACATGTGGCCCACTGTTTATTTGTTTTAAAAATAATCTACTTTTAAAAATGTACTTACTACTTACTATTGTATGCATGATATGTGTTTGGGCTGTGCATGCCATGGTGTACAGTAGAGATCAGAGGACAACTTCTGGAGTTGATTCTCACCTTCTACCTTATGTGAATCCCATAGATTGAACTCAAGTTTGCAGGACAAACACTTTAACCCATTGATGGATCTTTTTTTAAATTTTTATTTATTTATTTATTTAATTTTTTATATATTTGAATTACACACAAGATTTAATTACATGACGATCCCAGTTCCCTTCTCCCTCCCTTCCTCCTCTACCACCCTCCCCCAACTAAGTTGCTACCTGTCATATGTCCTTTTTTCTAATCTACACCTGACTCAAAATTTCTGCTTCCTCATGACCTCTGCATCCTTCCTTTTCTTCCCTTCTCACTCTTGTAGCTTTCTCCCCCCTCTTCCCATGTTCTCAATTTGTTCAGGGGATGGTGACCCTTTCCCCTTCTCCAGGGGACAAAGTTTGTCTCTTTTAGGGTCTTTCTTGTTTGCTAGTATCTCTGGCAGTGTGGATTGTAGGATGGTAATCCCTTACTCTATGTCTAAAATCCACATATGAGTGCGTACATATCATGTTTGTCTTTTTGTGATTGGGTTACCTCACTCAGAATGGTTTCTTCGAGTTCCATCCATTTTCCTGCAAATTTCAAGATTCCATTGTTTTTTTCTGCTGAGTAGTACTCCATTGTGTAAATGTACCATATTTTCTCTATCCATTCTTCGGTTGAGGGGCATCTAGGCTGCTTCCAGTTTCTGGCTATTACAAATAATGCTGCTATGAACATGGTTGAACAGATGTCCTTGTTGTATGAATGTGCTTTTTTTTGGGTATATGCCTAGGAGTGGAATTGCTGGGTCTTGTGGTAGACTCATTCCCATTTTCTTGAGGAGTCACCATACTGATTTCCAAAGTGGCTATACAAGTTAGCACTCCCTCCAGCAGTGGAGAAAGTGTTCCTCTTTCTCCGAATCCTCTCCAGCATAAACTGTCGTTGGTGTTTTTGATTTTAGCCATTCTGACATGAGTAAGATGGTATCTCAGAGTTGTTTTGATTTGCATTTCCCTGATGGCTAAGGATGTTGAATACTTTCTTATGTGTCTTTCAGCCATTTTAGATTCCTCTATTGAGAATTGTCTATTTAGTTCTGTACCCCATTTTTTAATTGGATTGTTTGGTGTTTTGGAGACTAGCTTCTTGAGTTCTTTGTATATTTTGGAGATCAGCCCTCTGTCAGATGTAGGGTTGGTGAATATCTTTTCCCAGTCTGTGGGCTGTCGTTTTGTCTTGCTGACTGTGTCCTTTGCCTTACAGAAGCTTCAATTTCAGGAGGTCCCATTTATTAATTGTTGATCTCAGTGGCTGTGCTACTGGTGTTATGTTCAGGAAGCAGTCTCCTGTACCGATCATTGATGGATCTTGATGGGTTAAAAATAATCTAAGAATAATTTAAAAACCTGCCCACATGAAATAAAGATAGGCCCTTAGCACCAATGTCTAGCTATATGGCTCTTCAACCCATTCCTTCCGTCTTTCTCTGTCTACATAACCACTCTGCTTAATTGTCCAGTGACTGGATCTGGAGATATAGGTAATTGTGAGCTGTCTAACATGGGAACTATGAACTGAACTATGGTCTTCCGAAAGAGCAATATGTGTTCTTAGCCACTGAGCCATCTCTCCAGCCCAAGTTTTCTTTTTGTATAGAGTATCTCCTACCAGGGCCCTGTGCTTGCTAGACAAGTGTTCTGTCTACAGCTGAATAAAATCTCAAGCATCTCTGCCCCTCCTTAGATGTGTTATTTTATGTGTATGAGAGTTTTGAATGCATGTATGTCCGTGTACCACATGTGTGTCTGGTGTCTACAGAGGTCAGAAGAGGGTGTCCAATCCCCTGGAACTGCATTAGCCACCATGGGGGGGGGCGTGATGGGGACTGAATTCAGAGCACTCAATCACCTTCCCAGTCCCCCCCCCCTTCATATTCTTGAGTCAAGAGTCTCACTCTTCAACCCATATTGGCATGTAGCTTGTGGCAGGCCTCCTGCCACAGCCTCACAGTGCTGGGGTGACAGGCTTGATCCATCACATCCACTGAGGATTGTTTCCTTTCTTCTGATCATGTAGACTCCACAGGCTCCTGAGAAAGTACTGTTGTAGTATGGTAGTGAGAAGGAGGGTTTTCAGGAGATATGAATGTTGTGAGGAAATCCTATGTAAAGTTTCTCTTGGCTTCTCTCTCTCTTTTCTTTTTCTTTTTCTTTTTCTTTTTTTTTCTTTTGCTTCTGTTTTTATAGATCCAGCATGTCTGGCTTGCACCTAGTAAAACAAGGTCGAGATAGAAAGAAAATAGACTCACAACGAGATTTCACTGTGGCTTCTCCAGCAGAATTTGTTACTCGTTTTGGTGGAAATAAAGTGATTGAGAAGGTAAGTTGCAACGTACTAAACAATTCTGCCTAAAGTATGTGAGACTTAATGCCTAGATTTGTTATTTCTGTTTGTGCAGAATTTTATTTAAGTTTTTAGGGACTTTGCCTTTTTATGCCAGGCTGTCCTTTCTGTCTCCCTAACATGCTATTAATACATACTTTCATTGGTTACTGAATATATATATGCTGATAATTTGGCTATAGTTGATAAGGAGTTGAAACTCTGCTTCTAATGTTCTTTTTGAAAGATCTTGTAGGTTTTCTGTTTGTTTGTTTGTTTGTTTTTCAAGACAGCATTTTTCTGACTGTCCCAGAATTCCCTCTATAGACCAGGTTGACCTCTAACTCAAGAGATCCACCTGCCTCTTCTTCCTGAGTGCTGGGATTAAAGTCCTGGGCCACCACTACCCAGTAGATCTTGTGGTTTTGCAGGCAGAGTTGCACTAGCCTGGCAGGGAGGGTGTAATGAATAATTGATAACAGTGTATAGTGCCTGGTGGTGGTAGAGATAAATATGATAGATAGCACTTGATTTATAGAAGTAGAGAGAGTTTCAGAAGAGAAGGCTTAAACAGTCTAATAAACTTAGTGCTTACTGGCTTCTACCAGATATTTGAGATGTTTAGAGGAAATAGGCCACATGAAATACTAAGAGATGCCAGGTAGTTTGAATCACTTGGAAAGTAGACATAGGCAAATGTTTGTAGCTAACCTAGCTTATGAAGTGAAACTCTTTGTGTTGTTTGCCCTCCCCCCACAAAAAAGAAAATTCTGTGTCATTGTTATCTAAAACTTGCCAGAGCTGGGAGGATATCTTAGTTGAAATAGTTTATAGTGATTAAAAGATTAAACTATAGAACCAGTATTCCCTCTCTTAAAAATATTGCTTCATCAGTGTCTTATATTTGTCTCTCAGTAAAGGTAGATTATATGTCTATTATAGGCTAATATTTTTAAGGGTATGATTACAAGATATATGTAAGGAGATGAAAGGCTAATTTATAGAAATTTCTCAGGATTATTTGATTCTTGTGACCATGAAGCTAAGTAGTTTCTTTCACTCTAAAGCACTGGGGTTCAGCATTTTGGAGAACAGCAATTGATGCCAAGTATCTTTTTACAATAGAGAATAGTGTATAATACCCCACAGTGTAACCTTCCCTCATTCCTTATTGGATATATGTCATGTTTCTTAGTAATAGTTATAGAATAGTTTATAAACAATATGAGTACTTAAGATTTAAAAATTTTTTTTCCAGAAATGAAGTTGGAAAGGAATTAGTTCTAGCTAACACATGTTGAAATTATTGCTTGATCTTGTAAGAGTTGTTTCTCAGCAACTTGGACTAGCAACAGTTTTTTCTTGAAATTCTTTTTTCAGACAAAGGGAAATAAATGTCTAAAAAAATCTTTGTTTTTCTATCATTGCCTTTCTTTGATACCATTTCTTCCATTACCCATATCATATTCCTTCCTCCCAGGTTCTTATTGCCAATAATGGTATTGCAGCAGTGAAATGCATGAGATCTATCCGTCGGTGGTCTTATGAAATGTTTCGAAATGAGCGTGCAATCCGATTTGTCGTCATGGTTACACCTGAAGACCTTAAAGCCAATGCAGGTGAGTTATTAGCTTTATGTCACTTTAGGTATAAAACATTGAATAGACCTGTCTATAAGTAGGAGAATGTTACCTTAGGGAGATTCTCAAGCCCAAGATTGTCAGTGAAATTCTATGCAAGGATTTCTCCTTTGAAAGGTGTCAGTAATAAAAACAAATAATAAAATATATCAATGCTAGACACACAAAAATGACTGTACTGTAGTTAACTACCACAATGATCCCTGTGGTCTGAGGTAAGTAGTTAGAAATTTAACACAAGTATTTGGACTATGAGGTGTATGACTTTTCCAGTGTTAAGTATTTGTTAGGTCACATATGTTAGTGTGTCTAACTGAAAATGTTTGGATGAAAATAATATTTCCCTTACGACTTATATGGAATGAGAGAGTATTTTAGAATAAAGATTCCATTTTTCCTTTGACCTCCGAGGGAGACATATCTTGGAACCCAAATGGGTTTTCAATACTTTTTTTTTTTGAGACAGGGTCTCACTATGTAGCTCTGGCAGGTCTGAAACTCACTATGTAGACTAGGCTGGCTTTGAACTCACAGAAAGCTGCCTGCCTCTGCCTTTGAAATTCTGGGATTAAAGGTGTGTATCACTCCTTCTCTACTCCACCCCCCATTTAAAAGTTTGTTTGTATTTTATATATATGAATATTCTCACCTGCATGCACATATTTAGATATGAATTCTTTTTTTAAAGTGTTTTATTTGTATATGTGTGTATTTGTGTTTGTGTGAGTTTATATGTACTATGTGCATGCAGGAGCTGCCAGAGGCTGGAAGAGGGAATCTAATCCTCCGAAATTGGAGTTATAGATGGTTGTGAACCACCTTGTTGATGCAATATATACTCTTAACCAGTGAGCCATCTATCCCCAAGTTTTTTTATGTTTCTTTTTAAGTAAAAAAGAATAAAGAAGCCAACAAATTAAATAGATGATTCTGTGAGTAACTTGAAAGATCTATTTGAGAAAGAAAAATCACAGAATACAACTGGGGATTTAGATGTGTGAATTATTGCAGATATGTAGTGTAGTTAACACTCCCCTCCAAAGAACAGCTAGAAAATGAAGAGGGCTGAGTGTGACATCTCATAAGAATATAAGGGATAGACTCAGGAAGCCAAGTCCATGAGCAAAGCTGAGAAATGAGTAAAGAGATAGGAGAAAAATGGAAAAGACAATTTCAGGGCTGAGGTGGGTAGTTCAGTGACAGAGAGCACTTGCTTTGCTAGCATCCATGAGGCCATGGGGTTGAGTTTTAGTGCCATGAGAAAAAAGAAAGAACTGGAAATGTTAGATGTATCAACAGTCTAACAAATAAACAAGACCAGAGGCCCATCTAACAATTAGGAAATCATTGGGCCATTGGTAACTATGGAGAATAATTTCAGTGGAATAATGTGAGTATGAAAATTAATATAAGGCATTAAGGAATGTGAGAAGTGGTATGGAGGCAGTGTAGACTTGTAGTTTTGAAGAATCCTTTAGGGAAGGGAAGAAGAAAAGGCAATAACTAAAGAGAGTTCAAAGAAGGATTTTTTATTTTTTGACTACTTTTTTTTTCTTTCTGTAGAATCTTTTCCTACAGTATTAGACTTAGCTAGTTTTTTTTTAAATTTATATTTATTTTTTATTAGTTCAAATTAGGAACATGCTTGTTTCACATGTCAGCCCCTTCTCCCTCTCCCTCCCCTCTCTCCCAACTCTCCACCAGCCCCCCTCGCTCCCCAGGGAGGGTAGGGCCCTCCATGGGGGCTCCCCAGAGTCCACCACATCATCCTGGCCCGGGCCTGGGCCCTCCCCCATGTGTCCGGCTGAGAGAGCATTCCTTCATGTGGGATGGGCTCTCAAAGTCCCTTCTTACCCCAGGGAAAAATACTGATCCACTACCAGGGGGGCCCATAGAGTGCCGAGGCCTCCTCATTGACATCCACGTTCAGGGGTCTGGATCATTCCCTTGCTGGCCTCCCAGACTGCATTTTGGGGTCCATGTTCCCCCTTGTTCAGGTTAGCTGTTACTGTGGGTTTCACTAGCCTGGTCCCAACCCCTTTGATCCTTATTCTTCCCTCTCTGCAACTGGGTTCCAGAGTTCAATTCAGTGTATAGCGGTGGGTATCTGCCTCTGCTTCCAACAGCCACTGGATGAGGGCTCCTCATGCTCCCAATTAGCTCAGGAGATCCTGCCCCTTCCCATTCTCCAGGGTTCTTTTGACTACTTTAAAAAAATGAGACAGTCTTGTGCTTTTCTGCTATGGTTTTGAGATCCCAAGCTCAAGTGATTCTGCTGCCTCAGCCTCTTGTGACTATAGGGGAGCATCATACTTATCACTTTGTCTCCTTTCTGAACATCTTTTGGAATTTTTGTACAGTCTGAGCGGTAGGAGTCAAATGGTTTAAATCTAGGAGAAACCTTAAAAACATTAGAGAACTTGCAGAGATGGAGGAGGAAGCATCAGGTGCAGAGATGGGCAAAATATACATGTCTTCTGACCCCAAATTCCTATTTCTTGGTATTTATTCTGAAGGAAAAAAAATCAGTAATGTTCCAAAATAAGTATCAAGAAGGCTAGTTGTTTGGTTTTGGTTACTTTTGATTCCTTGTCACATAGACACCCCTAAACCACTGCCTGCTTCCTGTGATGGGTTGAACATCTCATCACCTGTGCTGTATGTTCTTCTAGAAAGCAACAAGTCACAGATGAAATTAGGAAGGCTTACCATACCAATAACACAAGTTAACAAATTAGTTATGGCTGAATTTTTGATTTATGTCTAGTTTCTTTATTCAGTATATTTTGCTTAACATAAAAGTCACTTTTCTAAAGTCTACAGCTTTGTGACTTTTAGTAAGTTTATATAGTAGCATAATTATTTTTTAGTTTAGAACATTTAAGAAATCAAAAATTGTGAACAATTTTAGACAGGAGAATTGGTTTTTAACATGAAGAGTGAGATAAATCTTTGAAGACTACAGGGGAGCAGACAAAATGGAGAGGTTAAGAAGGAGCCATGTCACCATTTCCCTATTTCATAATTTTATGTCACGACGATTTCTAGAAAAGCTGGAAAGGTGAATGACTCATGAAATAAATAATAGGATGAATTTGAGTATTGTCATCCTCAGTGACTGTACATGACTGCTCATGGCACTCTACTGATGCCAAAACCTGCAGATACTCAAGTTCCTGATGTAAAATAGTATAGCATTTGTTTATAGCCTATCCTGTAGTGTGTGTGTGTATGTGTGTTTTGAGACAAGCCCATGCTGACCTCAAATTCGTAGCATTCCTCCCCCCTAACCTTCCAAATGCTGAGATTACAGGATGAGCCACCACATCCAACCCTCCTGTATCTTTAAATCTCTAGTACTTAATACTATGCTGCTTAGGGAGAAATAACACAGAAAAAATACCTTGTTCCCGCCCCTCCCCAAGTGTTTACAATTAGTCACTGGTTGAGTCTAATTTGTGGGCCAATGATAAGGAGTCAGTAGTTTTACTTATTTATTATTATTATTGTTGTTATTATTGTTCTATTATTGTTTGTTTGTTTTTTTGAGACAGGGTTTTTCTCTGTAGTCCTGGCTATCCTGGAACTCACTCTGTAGACCAGGGTGGCCTTGAACTCAGAGCTCTGCCTGCTTAAAGGCATGAGCTACGACCTGTGTAATTATTAGAGAATACATGCTAGAATAATGCTACTGATTAAAGTTACAGGAAGTAGGAATTGATGGAAAAATACAGGTTATAAGGTTAAAGTGAGTTTTTTTCCTCCTCCTAAGGCTTCTCTCTTTTAAATTATAAACTCAATAAATTTTTATTTAAGGGATTTTACATGTGATTCCTTCACTGTCCATTAAGGTCACTCAAGTTCAAGATTTCTGAAAATAACCCTTTCTTAAAGAAGGATGCTTAATCCAGTTATGCTGTCAGACCATAGTTCTTTTATCTCTCCTTTAATTAAAGACACACACTCATGACAGCTTCAAAGTTTTCTTTCTTTCTATATTTACTTTTATTGTTTTATAATTATGTGTATGTATGTGTTGGGGACGGCTATGCATGTGAGTTCTGTGCCCACATTGGGCAGACTTTGCCAGGTCCATTGGAAGTAGAATTAAAAGAGGTGGTGGTACACTCCTTTAATCCCAGCACTCGGGAGGCAGAGGCAGGTGGATCTCTGTGAGTTTGAAGCCAGTCGGGTGTACAGAGCTAGTTCCTGGACAGCCTCCAAAGTCACAGAGAAACCTTGATTCAAAAACCAAAACAAAATAAAACAAAAAACAAACAAACAAACAAAAAACAACACCCCAAAACAAAACAAAAACCAACAATAAAAAAGAGGTTGTGAACCACCATGTGAGTGCTGGAAATCAAATGGAGTCCTCTGCAAGAACAGCCAGTGTTCTTAACCAGCGAGCCATCTCTCCAGCCCCAACTTCAAAGTTTTCTACTGCAGGATTTCTGGCAGTTTCTTTGCTTCTGGAAAGCAATAATTTACATTAGGAGATATTTTAAGATAGATGTACCCCTCACTTGCTGACACCCCACATCTCTGAAGAATAAGTTTAGCTCATATACATTCCTGTCGTACCCAGGATGTTAGTCTGTATGTAGGATGTGCTAGTGCTGTATTGGAACAGGCATCCATTCATGGGTATCTTCAACTCTGACATCATGTTCAAGACAAGCCTCATTATTAGTACCATCAACCCTTTGAGCCATCTTGTATGTATCAGAATTCATTCTCAGCAGTGAGGTCTGTGCTGCACAAGAATATTACTTTTGCACCTGTCTTCTGTGCCATTATCCACCCGTTCCTTCCTTTTCTTTACTGTTTTCTTAGAGACAGAGACTCATAGATCTAGGTTGGCTTCACACTTGCTATGTAGATGAGGATGATTCTGTTTCTCTGCCTCCCAAGTGCTGGGATTATAGACATGAACTATGCCTTATTTATGTGCTGCATATGACCTAATCCAAGGTTGTCATGCTGCTAGCCAACACTCTACCAATTAAGTCACATCTCCCACTTTCGTTATTGTCCATAATAACAGCAATCGAAAGTTGATTTGTATAGAACCTTGAAATCTTGTTAGCTGTCTAACAAGCTACACTATTTTTTTGAAGTCTTTCTCACTCTCTCAGTGTGCCTCTCTGTCTCTTTGTGTATGTTGTGTATGATATAGGTGAACAGCTTTTTCTTTCTAGGACTACTAAAGTATAGAAATGATTAAGCCCCAGTAGAAAAGTTGTATAGATTTGACTACATAAAACTTGTTATTTTGTGGTGCTGTAGAGATGGCTCAGCCGTTAAGAGCACTGGCTGCTCTTCCAGAGGAGCAGGGTTCAATTGCCAGCACCCACATGCCAACTCACAACTGTCTGTAACTCTAGTTCCAGGGGATCCAACACCCTTACACAGACAGACATACATGTGTGCAAACACCAGTACATATAAAATAAAAATAAATAAGCAATGAAAAAGAAAAAAATTGTTATTGTGAGGGGCTGGAGAGATCTGGCTTAGCTCTTCCAGATAATTGGGTTTGATTCACAGTATCCACATGGCAGCTAACAACTGTCTATAAATCCAGCTCTCGGGGATCCAACACTCTCTTTTGGCCTCTGAGGTTATTGCATACACATGCTGCACAGACATAAATAAAGGCAAAGCACCCACACACTTAGAGCAAATACAACAAAATCTCAAAATGGTTTTAATTGCTATTTTGCAGCTAAAATATGTTTAAGACAGACAATAATATGGGGAAACACTGGCAGTAGTTTTCTGCCTGTAATATAAGAGGAAAACATACTTCCATACAAAATATGTGAAGATTATGAATAAGTAGTCCATAAAAGTAGACATAAGGCAAGTGGGGTGACCCAGCTGTAGTCCCAGGTACTCAAGGCTGAAGCAAGTAGCTTGCTTGGTCCTAGGAACTCAAGGCCACCTGAGTAGCATAGGAAAACTCCCATCTCAAACTCCAATCAATAAAAGGCAATAAATTTATAAGGAAAAGAGGAAAAGATATAAAAAGAGTAATAAGCATATGAAAAGAGACTGTGTTAGTCATAACCAGAGAAATGCAAATCGAAACAGTGGTAGATAGTGTCACAATTAAAAAAAATAGATAGTACAGGTGGAAGTGTAAGCAATTCATTCAGTTTTATCATACATTTATTTACTGTGTATGCATGTGTTTGGGCAGAGGGGTATATGGTGTGTGTGTGGGGGAGGTGGGTGGGTAGGTAAGTCAAAGAACAACTTGTGGGATTTAGTTCTCTTCTACCATGTGAATGCTAGGGACCCAACTTGAAGTTAAAAGGCTTCATAGCAAGTGCCTGTATCCACCTGAGCCATTTTGCTGGCCTGATTGGTCACTCATATTGCTAATGAGATTATAAAAATGTAATATCCTTTGACTTAATAGTTTACTCATAGGAACAGATCTCAAAGATACAACTGCACATTGATATAAGGATATGATATATGTAATACTTATTATTTTAAGATTTATTTTATTTTATATGTATGAGTGTTTGCTGACATATATGTAAGTATACCTCTGGTGCCCACAGAGACCAGAAGAGGGCATTGGATTCCCAGGAACTGGAGTTACAGATGGTTATGAGTTGCCATGTATGTTGTAGAACTTGAACTCAGGTCCTCTGCAGGGAAAGCAAGTGCTTTTAACTGTTGAGCCATCTCTCCAGCTCCCAGGATATATATTATCTTAATCATTTCCAAATTTTAAGTGCTCTTGTATTTCCATCAATAAGTGAATTATAGACTACTGAAATATTAAGTATGAATTTAAAAATTATACTATGTAAATGTATATCTTGTCAGAATGTGGAAGAGAGGCACAGCATGTTGTTAAACTGACTATAGTTCATTGCAGCAGTTCTCAACCTGTGGGTCATGACCCTTTTTGGGTCAAATATAAGACTTATGATTCATAGCAGTAACAAAATTACAGTTATGAAGTAGCAATGAAATAATTTTTTGGTTTGGGGGGATCACCATAACATGATGAACTGTATTAAGGGTCACAACATTAGGATGGTTGAGGACCACCAGTTTATTGTCATGTAAGGTTTCAGAGGTGCTATAGCATGAGCTGGTTATCTCTGAGATGGACAATGAACAATTTTGACCTGTTTTAAACATTTGAGGCAAGATCTTACTCTGTAGCCTGGGCTGACTGCAAACTTGGCATTTTCTTTCCTTCACTTTCTGAATGCTGGAGTGGTAGCTGTGTATCATCATCTCCTCTTGAACTTGACTTTGTCAAAATAGTGTTATTGCTTCCTGAATATGTTGTCTAACTCTTGTAATTACCAGGCTTCCCTACTATAGAAAACAAGCAAAAAACAACTTTATAGTGAAATGTTTAAACACTAGTACTTCAGGTGATACCTAAATATGTGGTTTATATGGTGATATTTTGTGCTGTAACAAATAAAGCTTGCCTGAAGATCAGAGAAGCAGAGCAGCCAGCTACTAGTTCTTAACTCAACCAAATCATCAGACCTAATGGGCAATCCTGTCTCTAGAAATCCTCAGACTGAATGGTCTGAGCTCCTATCTCCTCCTGCCTTTCTCCACCCAGCCATATCACTCCTGTCTCCACCTCCCTAGTGCTGGGATTAAAGGAGTATGATGCCAAGTGCTAGGATCAAAGGTATGAGTTCTGTTTCTCATTTAGACTAATTTAATTTTGTATAGCCCAGGGTGGCCTTGAACTCACATCAATCCTGGCCTCTATAGCTAACTATTGTGGCTAGCTCCACACACTGATTTTCAGGCAAGCTTTATTTGTTACAATACAAAGAGAATATCACCACAGGTTTAAAATCAGAACCTCCAATGAAATGGAGTAGAAATTATCACATTAATGTCATTAATTCTGTGGTTACTGAGGATAGTCTCCGACTTACCATAGTTTTGCTATGTCATAATAATTTGGATTAAAATTATGTTTTCCTCATAAATTTGTTTGTTTTCAGAATACATTAAAATGGCAGATCACTATGTTCCAGTGCCTGGAGGACCAAACAACAACAATTATGCAAATGTGGAATTAATTCTTGATATTGCTAAAAGGATCCCTGTACAGGTAAGAGTCTTCAAGGAACAAGTTCATTCATTTTACATGTCATCAAAAGTGTAGAACTCGTATCCAGAGAACTTAATGTAAAGTCTCTTTTTGGAAATTTTTTTTATGATAGATTTTTATTTTTTGCTCATTGGTATTTTGCCTGCCTGTGTCTCCTGGGAACTGGAGTTATAGATAGTTGTGAGCTGCCATGTGGGTACTGGGAATTGAACTCGGGATCTCTGGAAGAGCAGCCAGTGCTCCTTAACTACTGAGCCATCTCTCTAGCCCTGGAAAATTCATAAATGTCTTTATACAAAATAATTAAAACAGATGAAGAAAGAAGACATGGAAAGGAAGGCATAGTTAAAAATAAACATAATAGAAATAGCATGTTTGGAAAGATCTTTCAGAGATTTTTTTTTTTCCTCCTATTCTGTGCATCTCACCTCCAAGCCATCCTAAGTAAGAACACGACTATTTCCTCAGAATATCTTAACTACAATATGGTGCTGTTTTAGAAACATACTCTAAAACATTTCCTTTCATACTCTGTTGGGAAGTTTAGAGTAAATATCTTTAAGCCCAATGAGGGAAAATAACCTCTATACCAGTGGTTCTCAACCTTCCTAATGCTGTGACCCTTTAATACATTCCCTCATATTGTGGTGATCCCCAACTGTAAAATTATGTTTGTTGCTACCTCATAACTCTAATGTTGCTACTGTTATGAATTACAATGTAAATATCTGTGTTTTCTGATGATCTTAGATGGCCCCTGTGAAAAGGTCTTTTGATCCAAAAGGGTTTGTGACCCACCGGTTGAGAACCACTGCTAGACTTAAGTGACCATGTCACCACTAGATAGGAAAATAGAGTTGGGTGACCAGAATGTGAAAATGGTCTGAATATTGACCCTCCCCTCCCCATCCCTTCCCTCCCCTCCCCTCCCCTCCTTTCCTACCTTTTTTGAGACAGGGTTTCTCTGTGTAGTCCTGGCTGTCCAGGAACTTGATCTCTAGATCAGGCTGGACTTGAACTCAGAGATCCGCCTGCCTCTGCCTCCAGAGTGCTGGGAAGCTGTGCTCCACCACACCCAGCTTTCAGGCTTTCTTTAAAAAGCTCTAGAGAACCTAGCTGAAGGGCTGTAAATTGCATTTCATAAAGAGTAAGACTGAGTGTATCTTTCTGATTCCACTTGATTTTGTCCTCTTGAGGGCTTTTGCCACAGTCAAATGCTTATTGTTGTTCTGTGGAAGGTTTGCCAGCAGTCAAGCATAGAAGTTGAATTAACCACTGGGCTGCTGCGGAGCTATTATACCACAGCTGGTAGGGCCAGCCTGGATACAGTAAAGCAGTTTGTAGTTTTCTTGGTATGACTTTTAAGAATGATTCATGTCGTTGTTCTGTTGTAGGCAGTGTGGGCTGGCTGGGGTCATGCCTCTGAGAACCCCAAGCTTCCAGAGCTACTCTTAAAAAATGGCATCGCTTTCATGGGTAAGCATTTATGTCAATTTTATCTATATTCTGTAGTCTTAGTTTTGTTTTTAAGTCAGTAAGCAACTCTCAGAGTGACCTCCTTCTTGTTTTTCATACCCCTTCATTTCTTAAGTTGGGCTCTTCAGTTCTTAAGTTGGAGTTCTTTCATTTCATCTTGCAGATGTTTTTTGCTCCTGAGTTCTTTAATCTGAGATATGAAAAAGACCAGTTTTGAAACATGGGCTGTTAAAAAACTTTGCCATTCACCTTAAGAAAACATGTAGGAGGACCTGGTTCTTGATAGTACAAGTAACTGACTAACTAGTTAGGACACCCAGCAGTGTCTTTAAATATGAATTAACACTGTTGTATTTAAGTACATAATTTATATTTTGCCAGTGAGAGCTGTTTCTTCCATCTTTTCTACTCTTATTGTGGCAGAAGGAAAAATGGAAGTTACATGGCTCCTCCAATGCTAATGATGCTGTGTAAGCATTATTAAGGGGAAAAAAGTCTGTGTTAGGTTTCCTTAAATTAAGTAGTGTATATTTCAGATGTAAACCCTAAAATTTTACCATCTTTACTTTAGGATATAGATTTAGAGAAATTACTTTGTTTCTTGGTTAACATATATCATGATTCATAAAATTAGATTTTTTCCCCAGAAATTTAATGAAACAATTTATGTTTCATTATGTTTACATACTTTCCATGTATGCAACACGTTTACTACATTGGCTTCTGGAAACAGTGCAAAGATGAGTCAAAATGTAGTGGTCACTATATGTCATGTATGGGACAAGACTAATATAAAATAATTATAAGGCCAAATATATGTACCAGAAAAGAGGCAGAGATGCTGCTGTTCAGGTTCCTTTCTTGTCTTCTTTTGTTTTTAGGCCCTCCAAGCCAGGCTATGTGGGCTTTGGGTGATAAGATTGCATCTTCTATTGTGGCTCAAACTGCAGGCATCCCAACTCTTCCCTGGAGTGGCAGTGGATATATATAATGTGTGTTTTCATATGTATATGGGTACATGTGTGAGTCCAGGGTGGAGGCCCAAGTGTCAAAGGCCTTCCTTCGCTATTCTCTATTTACTCTTGTGATTTTTTTTTTTGTATCATATTTTAGGAATATAAGTGGAGAACTAGGCACAGATGCTAAACTGAGATCTGCAGTGATACAGGGACTTGATTTGGATAAACTCTGGGACACATATTTTGTCAGGGGGAAGGGGGGAAGGGGGTAGGCTTTAGATCTAAGGGTAGGCTGGAAGCAACCTCAGAGGCAGGCTTGTTTGGTGAAATTAGACTTCAGCAGTGCCTAGGGAATAACCTGAATCACTATGAAGAGCCTTGATCTCACTTCCTTAGATGTCTGCCTGCCATTGTTTCCTATGGATGCAGATGATGTTAGTAGTCACCTTTTCCCCAAACATGCAGAGGGATAAAAAGAAAAATTGAGCTGGGCAGTGGTGGCACACACCTTTAATCCCAGTACTTGGGAGGCAGAGGCAAGTGGATTTCTGTGAATTCCAGGCCTTCCTGGTCTACAGAGTGAGTTCCAGGACAGCCAGGACTGTTTCACAGAGAAACCCTGTCTCAAAAAACCAAAAAGAAAAAAAAAATTGAGAAATGATTTGTCCTTGCCAATTCTTTAGATTGTCATGTGAATTTTTTTTTAAAGCACATAATAATAAGAGCTCCCCCTTTTTATGCATTCACACACAGGAACAAGCTAAATAGGAATGACTATTGTCTTGAGGCTGAACAGATTTGAATCCTTGTTCCTCTGGCTCTCCAGGGGATTGCCATATCCTCTCCAGACCTGCTGGGTCAAATAGTTTAAAAGGTTGAATTTGTTCTTGTTTGAATGGAGACGCTGTAATGTTCCCCTTGGAGCTGAATACAGAGACATTCAGGGAGCATGGAATCATGACTCTGCTGAGACCAATAAAACAGCCATTTACGTTTCCAAAGGCTCATAAAGATTGAATTATTTCTCAGACCTCTGGCCCCAGAGCAGGTCTGAAAACACTGAAGGTATTTTGCCTGTGTGTTACTGTGAGAAATCTGCCATGCTTCTCCCTCTCTCCTTTCCCCTTTCCCTGTGTTCCCACCCTACCTCCAATCCTTGTGTTTTTTTTTTTGTAACTAGATTTGTCCACTTTCCTTGATTTTTCTAGTCCAAGAACCCCATATGCTAGCCCATGCTATGGCTGAATTAACTATTATCTCCAAGGACTGATCAAGGTTTTACAATATTCTTGTATCCCCCCACCCCCACCCCATTTACCTTCAATCTTTGGTAAATACAGTAGCTTTTAAAGGAGGTATCACAGAGCTGAGTGTCTGGAACATGTTGATAAAGGCAGGAGGATTGCAATTTCAAGACCAGTCTCCACTACATGTCAAGCATCAGGCCAGTGTAGACTACACATCTTTTTAAGAGTGGGCAGAAGATTGAAACAGGCTTTCACTGGTGATCTCAATTCATTATTGTTTATTGTAGGTCTTCGTGTGGATTGGCAAGAAAATGATTTTTCAAAACGCATCTTAAATGTTCCACAGGATCTGTATGAGAAAGGCTATGTGAAGGATGTGGATGATGGACTGAAGGTAAGTTACTGACTCCAGGGGTGGTCAGTTCTAGTTATAAATATGGGGATTTGGAGTCTGACTCATGACATATACCCTTGCTAGCATGAGGGTTGGAAACCAGGACAAAGATTTTTTAAATATGGAGTAAGGAAGTGACTTTAAACTTAGTTTTCAAGGGGACTGGTCACCTGCAGAGAGTTTCTTGGCTGTTAATTCAGTGTTTTAAGGAGGTAATGATTCTTCCTCTCTACCAACTGTTGGTGTGTAGGGGTTGGTCAACAAGCACCATCCCTTTCCCCTAGTGAATCAAAACAGAGAAGCTGGGCAGGTAGATGTCAGACCATCAGCTTTATTGTTAGAGAGGTATTTGTAAAAATGGTTTGTGTGTATAGCAACAATGAAATTTATGGGATGAATGGAGAATTAACTAGGTTCCTCCCTCAGTTTCATTAACTGGCAGTGCTAAATATTCAGAATTCCCTCCATAGAGACAACTTTTATCACTCCGCTTATTATATGACTGAGAGTTCACAAGAGCACGTGTTCAATGTTGTGGGCTGATGTCAGAGAAAGAGCTTGAGCAAGCATGCCCAGTTTCTCTTTCCAAATTGGCCAGTCAAATAACTTTTCCCTTTAAGGAGGAGTGCAAGAGTGAGCCAAGAGAGGCTGATAGTATTATTATTGCTCATAATTATTCTCTGTTTCTGTAGAAATGTGACCCCACCATCACACTTTTTTGCCTTATAGTTGCCTCCAGTGTTTCTCTTTACTTATGAACTAGTTGGAAGCCTCAGTTATGCCTCCTCCCTCCCTCCCTCCTTCCTTTCTTCCTTCCCTCCCTCCCTCCCTCCCTCCCCCCTCTCATATTCTCACTCTCCTTATTTTTCTTATTTTGAGACAAGGTCTCTGTGTAAACCTAGCTGTCCTAGAATGTTCTATGTAGACCAGGCTAGCCTTGAATTTACAGAGCTTGGTCTGCCTCTGCCCATTGAGTGCTGGGATTAAGGGCATGTGCCACTATGCCTTGCTCTTTAATGACGGTTTTCCTAAATGTAGAAAATACAATTTTCTTTCTCTATTAACATGGTTTTTCCATTTTTCTCTTTTTTCTTGAAGGCAGCCGAGGAAGTTGGTTATCCAGTAATGATCAAGGCCTCAGAGGGAGGAGGAGGGAAGGGAATCAGGAAAGTTAACAATGCAGATGACTTTCCTAACCTCTTCAGACAGGTAGAGTACAAGTTGGTTTTGCTTGTTTGAGTTACCATGTATATCAGAGATGAATGATTTAACTTCTACTGTAATTTAGATATACAGAAAATGTTGGGTTTTTATTTTTATGTGTATGTAATCGAAGCTTTGTCTATAGCCTTTATCTGATTATTCATAGGAGTTGAGGGAATTAATGAACTATCTAATTCAATGTAAATTTTTTCAGTTATGTAATTCAAGCACTAGCTTTTCTTATATAGAATATAGCTCTTCTCTTCATGGTGTGTAAGGCTCACAGTACCCCATGATGGTAAGAAGAGACAATGTCATTCCACATTCTTTTGCTCTTGTTTTGATCTTGTAGGTAAGGGTGTGGTATGATGGGATGGTGCTCGTGTTTGCCCGTATGTTGATCAAATGCCAAGCTCTCAGATAGACTTTTCCTTACATCATGTGAAGTTGGCTGGAGACCCTTGAGTTTTTACCATGTTCTCTATCCTGTTGGTCAGTAGCTTATATACTTGCCTATGCTGTATGGCCATCACACCCTGCCACTGGAACCTCATGGCAGGCCCTCAGTATTGTGTGGATTAGGTGCCTCAGAGAACTTAGCCTGCATCACCACCACCTTGCCTCTAATAATTCTTTACCATCTTGAAAAGCTTCCAATCTCTTAACAGGCTTTAAATAGAAGAAAAAAATCTAATCCAGCTGGGCGTTGGTGGCACACGTCTTTAATCCCAACACTCGAGAGGCAGAGGCAGGTGGATCTCTATGAGTTTGAGGCCAGCCTGGTCTACAGAGGGAGTTCTAGGACAGGCAAAGCTACACAGAGAAACCCTGGTTTCAAATCCCCGCCCCCCAAAAAAAAATAAAAGAAAGAAAGAAAAAGAATAAGAAGAAATAGAAACTCAGAGATGAGCTTGGGAGTTGAAGACATTGGGGTTTTTTTGTTTTGTTTTGTTTTTGTTTTTGTTTTTGTTTTCCTTCACAGAGATATCTTCTAGTTTAAGATAAATCAACACACTCAGGAGTGTGAAGAATATTAAGTTTAAGGGCAGCCTTGTCTATATAGTAAGAGCTACCCTCAAAAAATACTCAGGAAGGAAGAAGAAAAAAACTATGAAACTGGTCAGAATTTTCATTTGTCTTTTAAGAGTAAGAAAACAATTTAGACTTTAGAGATGGTTGAACAAGTAGTTTTGAAGGTCCCAAGGACTCTTACATTTTATATTGGGATCCTGAGAAAGAATAAACCAGAAGTAGACCAGCCCTCAAAGGGACTAAATCCCAGATTCTAAGCACTCACCTTAATTCAGGTATTATGTTTACAATTGCCAATGCTCCTAATCATCTGTATGCAGACAGCAAATGTCCATCCTCTCCAGAGGAAGATTATATATAACTTCAAATTATTACTACTAATCTTCTCATGTAGCATGTTAAACACCCAGTTAAAAGCTAGTGGTTCTATAAATTGCATGATTCAAAACTAAGAACAAAAGTCAGTGGAAATAGATCCAACTAGGATTTACACTATTAGACAAAGGTTTTAGAGTAACTATGCTTAGTACATTTAAGGAAATTAAAGGCAAGGCTGAGAATTTGGACAGAGAATTAGAAATCATAAAAAGGAAACATTCTAGGTCTGAAAATACAATAACTAAAATTAAGACATCAAGATATGAATTAAACAGCATGTTAAAATTGAAAAATGAGTCAATCACTGAAATATAGAAGAAAATTTAGACTCAAGCATATAGAGAGCCAAAAAGATAAAAAAATACAGAAAAGAACAATACATTAGTTGCAAAGATTACCACGAAAACACCTGTCTCTTCACACAGTTTTACTGTACATTATAAGTTCATGTCTCGTACTAGCAAATAGAGCGATGCTCTTTTTTCACCCTTGGATTCCAGCTGGCCTTTTGATTTATTTTGACCAACAGAAGGTAGCATAAATGGTGTACAAATTATGAAGCTTATGTTTCAAGTGGTTGTGTGGTTTATACTTTTCTTTATTGGAATGAGCCCTCAACTGCCACATGAAGAACCCATTCTACACTACTACTAGAGAAAGAGAGACCATATGAAGCAAAGCAGAGAAGGGTTCTTCCAGCTAAGGTCTCTAGTCCTACTGGTGACTGGTAGCACCACATTTGAACATGTCAATGAGACTTTGTTAGACTATCAAACCCTAGTTGAGCTGTTAGATGGCAACAGTGCACAAGTGACAAGTTATAAGCTAAGTCTAGCTCAAAAATACTTTCCAAAGTACTAGTTTTTTTTTCCTGTTATTTTTAAGTTTGTTAGCTAGAGCTGTAGGTCATTAATAGAATGCTTATCTAGCATACATTATGCCCTTGACTCGATCCCTACTACTGTCAGACAAACAAACACACAATAAAGGGAAACTATTGTCAAAGCATAATTGACAGAGAAATTGATAGCAAAAGGTATGCTATCATCATGAAAAACTACCTTTAGAATTAGCTCATGGGTTAAATATGCTTAGAAATATATTAATGACATTGTAAGAATGTGAGCAAACTGTAAATGAAACTAGACTTGTAGTAAGTATTGCTAATGGAATCTGGAAAAAAAAGATTACTTATATTCTGTAATAGTGGAACAACTGGCAAAAAAACCCCTATTATCTGAGGTAACTTAAAAGATAATGTAATTCAGACCTGGAGAGATGACTTAGCTGTTCAGTTCCCAGCACTATTAGGTGACTCACAATTGCCTGTAGTTCCAACTCAAGGACATCTGATTCATTCATCTGACCTCTAAGGGTACTTGGATTCATGTGCCCATACCCTCACACATACATTCACAAAATACATATAATTACATAATGATAATTGAAAAAACTTTAAAAAGATAATGTAATTCATGAAGTCATAAATCTGAGAAGATTTCAAAGCAAAATACTGAAAGTATAATGTTGAATAACTGTAAAAGCTGAGGGATTGGGAGTATACTTCAATTGGTAGCATGCTTGCTTTTGCAAGCATGAGGCCCTGGGTTTGATTCCCAGCACCACATAATCTGAGCATGATTGTGTATGCCTGTAATCTCAGCACAAAAGAAAGTAAAGCAAGATCAGAATTTCAAGGTCATCTTCAGATACATGTCGATCCTGACAACATGAGACACTGTCTCAAAAGCAAAAGTGGCTGGAGAAAGCCTCAGCAGTTAGAAAACAGACTGCTTTTCCAGAGGACTGGGTTTGATTCCCAGCACTCACATGTTGGTTCACAACTAGTCCCAGGAGATCTGATGCTCCCATTTGGCCTTCTCTGGCACCAGGCACACATGTGGTCTATAGACATAAATGCAAGCAAAACATCTGTACATATAAAATAAAATCTCCAGAATAGAGATAGATAGATAGATAGATAGATAGATGGATGGATGGATGGATGGATGGATGGATGGATAGATAGATAGATAGATAGATAGATAGATAGATAGATAGATTCCTGCTCTTTGAGTAAGTGAAACTGGATTTCATGATTTCTGTGAAACCAGTGACCACTGAGTGTCTCCAGTCCTTTCCATTTGAATAAGAGTATCCTTTGTAGTTCTCTCTCGAGTCTCCTCACTAAGTGTTGGGGTTTGGGACAGATAACTTGTCTTTTTAGTTCTCAGGTCTTTGGATGAAGACAATGTAACTGAGGAGCTGTATCCAAGGGCACTCTTGTTTCTGGACATGAGTCATGAGAGCATTGGTGGTCAAGCCTGATGACATGATTGGATGAGACTTTAGGGGTCTTGGGAGGGGGTGAGTCTACTTTGCATGTGGGAGGTCTGGAAATTATTGTGGCCACAGGGTGGACCATAGTACACTTTTCCAGAGATGGCCACAATAACTCCTCCCATTCCTGTATGTATACCCTTTGCAATATGACTTTGCTATTCTTCCTATAAAGAGATGGTATATCTCTTCCCACTCTTTGAATTGTAGCCATTTTTGTGGCTTGCTTAGACCACTATTAGGTGGTCAAAGTCACATAGATAAATTGGAGTCTAGACTTCAAGGGGACATGCAGCGTCTGCCTTCACCCTTTAAGAACATTGTACTTAAAGAAGCTTGGTCTGTGCTGTGTACCAGACTGAAAAGCCCATTGGAGGATGAGAGACCTCGTATAACAGAAATGAGCATGTTCCAGTTGAGGCTGTCTGTACTTACCAGCCAACAGTTAGCACAGATCACCAGATTTGTGAAAGAGGCCATTTGAGCCACTAGATGATACTACATGATTTCAAGAAGCAGAAGAACTGTACAGCTGAGCATCATGAGCAAGAAAGTGGTTGACATTTTCAGCGGGCCATTGAGTTTTGAAGTAACTTATGTAGCTAGCAAACTAAAGTAGAAAAGTTAGAGTATAAAGACATGGGCTACAGTTACGTTCTCTAGTATTAGAGTACTTTAACACTCAGATATGAGGAAGAGAATGAAGCAAAGTAGTAGTTGAAGAAATTATGGAGCCAAAAGCTGCAGAAAAGTTAATAATGTCCAACAATTTTCTCAAACTAATAAAAGCTGCCAAGCACAAATAACAAAACCCTGAGTTTCAAACATTGTGAATACACGGAAAACCACATCTAAGCTTATGAGTAAATCTGCCGCATGCCTCTCCCAACACCCTCTCCACAAAAGAAAAGGAAAGAAGAGAGACACATACATACAATCTGAAATCTGTTGGAGCAAAAAGTTTACTTGAAAAAGGCTAAGATTAACAGTTGAGTTAGGCATGGGTAGCACACAGCTTTAATCCCTGCACTAGGGACATAGAAACAGGTGGGTCTCTGTGAGTTCTAGGCCAGCCAGGGCTACACAGTGAGATCCTGGAACACACACACACACCCACACACCCACCCACCCACACACACACACACACACACACACACACACACAGGAGGAGGAGGAAGAAGGATGATCAACAGTTGAAATCTCAGTAGCCATCCTAGAAACTAGGAAACATTGGGATATCTTTGAAGGGCTGACAAAAATTAATTGGTAATTTAAGATTTTTGCACCCACTGACAGTGTTTCTCAGAACTCAAGATGGAAGACCTTTGACTTCAGCACCATCATGTGTGATATAATGTAAATTAAGAGATCATCTAGTTAGGAGCAGTCTACATGTGACTGTCTTTTGAATAGATGGCAATATTTTTGCCCTGTTGTGGGATTTGTGTGTGTGTGTGTTTTCAAGTATTTTGTTTGCCCCTTTTAACATACTGATGTTTTATGTTTTCATATTCCTTAATTAATACTGGTGATATAACTAAGAATGCAGCACGTTAAAGGTAGACAAAGGCATGGACTATATTTCTTCTGTTGTGTATTCTCACTGTTAATGTAGTTCCGGAAACTTTTAGGCATCTGCTTATTGAAAGAAATCAACTTTTCAGTACAGAAAAAAATCCTCACTGCTTAAGAATCTTGCTTCCTTTTCCAACACAGGTTCAAGCTGAAGTCCCTGGATCACCTATATTTGTAATGAGACTAGCAAAACAATCTCGTCATCTGGAGGTCCAGATTCTAGCAGATCAGTATGGCAATGCCATTTCTTTGTTTGGCCGTGACTGTTCTGTACAACGCAGGCATCAGAAGATCATTGAAGAAGCTCCTGCTGCTATTGCTACCCCAGCAGTATTTGAACACATGGAACAGGTGTGTATTAAATGCTTTCATTTCTGTCTTCCTACACAGAGATACAGCTCACTCAGCTCATACCCTATATAGGAATGGAAGAAATTTTTAATTTTTTTTAAGATTTTATTTTTACTTATTATGAATACAACATTCTGTTTCCATGTATATCTGCACACCAGAAGAGAGCACCAGACCTCATAACGGATGGTTGTGAGCCACCATGTGGTTGCTGGGAATTGAACTCAGCATCTCTGGAAGAGCAGTCAGTGCTCCTAACCTCTGAGCCATCTCTCCAGCCCCTGGAATGGAAGAAATTTAAGCAGTGATTCTAGATAATGGATAATAACAACATATTCTGATGTTCTAGGAAAATTGTCAAGAAACTTACCAAAGTCTAAAAATAGTTAATACTAAAACAAAAACCAAAAAAAAAAAAAACCCAAAACAACAACAACAAAACCAATGATATTTTAAGATAAGTAAGAAACAAGTTGGGATTTTTAACAAGTTCATGAAGAGCATGTGTAGTTTTCTGGGTTGATTAGCATCGAATCTTCTGCCAGGTATGGTGATACACTTAGAATTCTAGCTCTTGAGAGGCTGAGGTTGGAAGGTGGAGAATTCTAGCCTCCCGTGTGCTATATACTGAGACCTTGTCTAAAAGAAAATGTCTTCAGCTGATTTCATCTCAATTCATTATCTTCTTATAAAGTCCTCTAGGTATCTGTGAGCTTACATATTTAGTGCTTTTGGGTAAAGAAGGATTTCCTTGTCATGAAGTGTGTCTTGGAAATAGTTGTAGCTTAGGGATGTGAACATGCTCTTTTTCTGTTTTCTTTTCTCCCCTGGAAGAATGGCCCTCCTTTGATGTCATTAATGATTCATTTTCCATCATTCTGAGTTCTAAACAAATTGAACTATACTCTGTCTCAGAAGTTTATTTTCTATTTCTTATTTTTATTCACCTTCTATAAGATGAATGCCTCAAATACAGTGATTTAAATGAGGCGTAACTGCCTAATGATCTCTTTCATTCTAGTTCAGATATAGGCTTCTACCAGAGACATAGGTTTATTGTTCTACCCTTCCTTAAGATGGGGCTTGGCAAACAGCCTGCTGTTGGCTTGTGTAAATAAAATTTTAGTTTTTATGCTTTTTTTTTTTTTTTTTTTTTTGGTTTTTCAAGACAGAGTTTCTCTGTGTAGCTTTGGAGCCTATCCTGGCACTCGCTCTGGAGACCAGGCTGGCCTCGAACTCACAGAGATTCTCCTGCCTCTGCCTCCTGAGTGCAGGAATTAAAGGCATGCTCCACTAATGACCGGCTTATGCTCAATTTTTTAATGCTCAATAATTTATATATTTGACTGTTTATTGCTGCAGTGAGAGAACTGAGTATCTGTGACAGAGACTATGGCCCACAAAACTGAAAATAATTACTATCTCATCCTTTACCAGAAAAGTTTACCAACCTTTACTCTTGTGTGGTGTCAGAATTTTGATAATAAAGCAAACTCCATGATTATGTTTCAGTTGTAGCAAGGGTGGAGTGGCACTTAGAGGTCAAGCAAATAATAACAGAGCACATAAGTCACACATGACAGTTCTCACGTTCCTCCACACACAATTTCTTCATAACCAAGTGTAAGAATTGTTAGGAGTTAGCTGGATGACCAGGGTGAAATTTGAGAAATTCTTCCTAAAAGATGAAGAAAAGTTGTTAGAGGCCTGGAGCAACTTGTGCCATAGTCTGTTCTTGCTTTCCATTTCCTGTTCGTTAGTTCAGGCTGAGAACACATGTTCTTTCTCTAAGGAAGACAGCCTGAAGTCACCACAGTCACTTAGCTCTGTAAGATAGGCATATCAGATCAAGGGTCTTTAGGTTACTGAAGAGTTCTATGTGAGCTACTTTCCTTTCTGTTCATGGGCTAGTGATCTAAAAGAGTTTTGTCTCTTTCCACTGTATACCTATTATGCAATGGTAGAATGGGAGCCAGAGAATTACTATTTGGAAAAGTGCACTATACACATCAATCATTGCCCCACAGAGGCTAATAAACTGTTTTGTGCAGCAGTTGTGCTGTCCCTGTTACATAGGGGAGTACTTCTTCAGTTAGACCTGGCTGCCCATGGTTCTGCTCCTAGGAAGTAAGATCATTTACCATTGTCCTGTAAGACATCTGAATTGACTCTTGTGAAGTTCTTCCTTATTTAGTTTCTGTAACATGGGTTTTGCAGGCTGTACTTCCTTTGGGGGAAATTTCATAGCCCGATTCCTACTAGTGCAGGATTAGCAGTACAAATATTACTTCACAAGTTAGTCACTATATTTTGAAGGCCAGGCTGTGGTCTGTAATGTAATTCTGAAATGTAATTCTCTCAAATACTTAGTAACCTAGGCTGTTTACTTATACTCATCTTCAAGTTGGAATAATTAGATGTAGTGATTTCTTTTAGATGTGAAAACTCTTACTGGGTTTTGTACATAGCTTACCTCTCTCTCCTTGACTATTTTGAAGCCTGCTGAAACTAAAGCAGCTTCTTAAAAGTCTATTGACACTGAGTTGCTTTGGTGTAAGAATCTAATTTCTTGACTTTGGACTATAAAAGCAGTTTGCCTTTTCATCTTTCTTAATCTTTTTTGTTTGTTTGAGACAAAGTCTCACTATGTACCTTTTACCTGGCCTGCAGCACACTAAGAAGAACCAGGCTGGTCTTGAATTCACAGGGATTCCCTTTGCTCTCTGAGTGTTTGGGATTATGGGAGTGCACTCCAATCTTATATTTTTGGTTGTGAATCTAGCCTTTAATGGCTGAGTTATCCCTCCAGCCTCTGCACTCGAATTTTAAACTTTGTCTCTCTCTGTCTTTGTTGGGAGCAGTTTTGTGTCTCTCAGGTTGGGCTCAAACTCTATATGTAGCTGAGGATAATTTTGAACCTCAAGCCCTCCTGCCTCCACCCCTTCAAGGTATTTGTCACCACACCTGGTTTATGTGGTACTAGAGATCAAACCCAGAGCCTTGTGCATGCCTGGCAAGCAACCTATCCACTAAGCCCCAGCCCCAGCCCTAGCCCTTACCTTTTTTCTTCAGAATTAGTTGATATGTAGCAAGCATTCTATTTTGTAGGAATGATGTACTAAGCGTGTCACTCTGTAACAAGGACCTCACCTCTCAACTTTCCAGTCAGCAGTATATTTCCTTGTTAACTTCTACCTTATTGCTAAACTAGCACCACATATTCTAATTTTAATATAGGAGCACTCCATCTGCACTTCCTAATGACCATTTTGGTTAGGATAACAAGGTAAGTTGCTATAATAAAAAGATCTAAAAACATTCAGTGACCCTAAGAAGATAAGTTTATCATCATAGTTTGATATAAATTTTACAGGGCTGATGTGAGAGTTATAATTCCACAAGACCATTTGAGATTCAAGTCCTTTATATTTTGATTTGTCTTTTTTTTTTTTTTTTGGTTTTTCCAGACAGGGTTTCTCTGTGTAGCTTTGGAGCCTATCCTGGCACTCGCTCTGGAGCCCAGGCTGGCCTCGAACTCACAGAGATTCGCCTGCCTCTGCCTCCCTAGTGCTGGGATTAAAGGCATGCGCCACCAACGCCAGGCCTTGATTTGTCATTCTTAACTGTATTCTTATCTGCATGGTTGAAATCTGATATATATGCTTATGCATCTCACTTACCAATGCTTGAATCCTGTTTGTGAAAACATGGTCTCTATAAGAGATTAGTCAATAGCTAAAGGAGAGATTAGAAAACCCAGCCTTTAGCTGGGTAGCAATTTTTCTAAGAAGATGAGCATATTGGGAATACTGGAAATTAGAAGACAATGAAGAATTTGCTGCCCTTATTGTTTTGCCTCTATGCCCTTTCTGTCTGATTGGAGGTTGCTCGTGATTGGATTTGAAAACACTTCCTTCTCCCACTTTTTTACTGACTTTGTCATCCATGTCCCATGGCATTGTATAATAATCTGAAGGGGTCTGATTGTTTTGAATGTGGCTCAGAGTCTTTGGTGGCTTGTACAAGCACTGGGTATGTAGACAGCTGTATGTAGTTACGGTGATGCAAAGACTGGACAAAATGAAAGACTTACAGTTTCTTATCTTCCTTTTAAGTGTGCAGTGAAACTTGCCAAAATGGTTGGTTATGTGAGTGCTGGGACTGTGGAATACTTATACAGCCAGGATGGAAGCTTCTACTTTTTGGAACTGAACCCTCGGCTACAAGTTGAACATCCTTGTACAGAGATGGTAGCTGACGTCAATCTTCCTGCAGCACAACTCCAGGTGAGTCACTCTGACTTGGGTGGGCTCAAGTTAGAGCTTAGAGAATTTAGAAATCTCAAGAGATGCCTAAAAGACTGATGAGAAAAAAAGCACAAATAAGCCAAAGCCTTTTCTGTAATGAGAAGTTTTTTTTTTTTTTTTTTTTTTTTTTTCCTCTTTGGCTTTTTGAAGGGCCTACTGCCCAATTCCCAAATAAATCACACATAGAGTCTTATAAATGCCTGGCCTTAGCTTGGCTTGTTGCTAGCCAGCTTTTCTTAACTTTAATTAATTAACCCGTCTACCTTTTCTCTCTGGGCTTTTATCTTTCTTACTTCTCTATATCTTACTTTCCTTCTTACTCAGTGGCTGGCTGAGTGACTGCCCCCATTATGTCCTTCTTTCCTTGTTTTCTCCTTCTTTTTAAACTCTCTGCCTGCCAGCCTCACCTATCCTTGCTTCTTCCTCACTATTGGCCATTCAGCTCTTTATTAGGACCACCAGGTGTTTTAGACGGGCACAGTAACACAGCTTCGAAGAGTTAAACAAATGCAACAGAAACAAAAGTCACACACCTTAAAAGTAATATTCCCCAACTCTCACTTATCTTCATTTCTCATAATATGGGTCATGTGGGTGTGGGCTAGTTTTCTGATTCGTTCAAACAAAAAACACTCCTGTAACTTCTCTCTAGGCACAGCTTATTAACTGTTTTCAGAAGAAAGATTGACTCTAAAGCCTTTCTTTAGAGCTTTGGCGCTAGAGAGATGGAGCGGTGATTAAGAGTACTGGCTGATTTTCCAGAAGATCCAGATTTGATTCCCAATACCCAGTTGGTGGTACACAACAATCTGTAATTCCTGTTTCAGGGGATCTGATGCCCTCTTCTGGCTTTTGCAGTCACTGCATGTATGCACAGACATAGGCAAAACATCCATACACATATATTTAAAAAAATTAATATTTTTAAAAACAATCTAGCCAGGTGGTGGTGGTGCATGCCTTTAATCCCAGCACTTGGGAGGCAGAGGTAAGGTCTACAGAGTGAGTTTCAGGACAGGCTCCAAAGTTACACAGAGAAACC